TGTGTGTGTGTGTGTGTGTGTGTGTGTGTGTGTGTGTGTGTGTGTGTCTTTTGTCTGTCGAAAAAAATTTCCCTGGAACCTAACCCACCTATTTACATTAATTCTTATGGGGAAATTAGATTTGCTAATAGTTTAGATTTGCTAATTAGATTTGCTTAGATAGTTTCACTTAAAGTAGCATTTTTCAGGAACATAACTACAACATTAAGTGAGGAGTTACTGTATACAGACAAGTGTAAAATCGTATGTCCTCTGATATAATACAAATGAGGTAAATCTTCATGTAAGATTATTCAGCATGTTCTGCTACTGAAACATACAGCTACTAATGATTAGCTTTAGTGCATTTTGGTTGGTATAAGCTATCCTGAGGTAAAAAAGAGCTTTCATAGGCATTTATAGTTATGAGCATTATTTCAAGTCAGAAGAAATACTAGCCTTCTGCTAATAATCTGCAAGGGGGTGGGTACATCACACTTTCCCAAGGCACTTCTTAATGAAGTGTCCCACTAATTTCTGCGGTCTCTGCTGATACTCCACAAGCACATCATGTGAGCTGCTAATCTGATCCCCTTCAAGTCGATTCAGAAGTGTGACACACACCACAGCAGCTAGAGATAAAAGAAAGTGTTTGTTAGAATTGACATTTAGGTAACTTTCACAGTGAGAAAGCATGAGAGCATCTTCTATTTGTACACCCCTGTTTGAGGTATCAAAACAGACAAGAGGAGATAAAGCCAAGGAAACTAATAGTTTCAGTGATGGGTTTGAGCAGTTCACAATGGAAATCACACCTTATAATAAATAACTAGATTAAGTACCTATTTCACTTTAGATGTTGTTTTAAAATTACTAATAGTTTGAAGCAAACTATAAAGCCATTAGTAAAGTTGATGGAGCTGCTCCAACATATGGTCACATTCAGAACATTCATGGTCATTGCATGATTAGAACTTTTTTCTGAATGGGATTTTTTTTTTTCCCAAGGAGTCTATAAGGCTGATTGGTAAAATTGCCTCAGAGAATAAGGGTATGTCTACACAGCAAACACTGTGCATGGGCTAACCTACTTGAGCTAGCTTGAATCAAACTACTGTGGGTAACAATAGTGATGAGGAGAGTAGGTGCAGTGTGGGCTTCCCGAGGAGAAAAAAAATGGGAGAAAAAGAGGTAATAAATTCCTCACAACAAGTCATGCTCTTATATCTCAGACCAATTAGAAAAGGAAGACTTTGTGACCTTAGAACACGGACATAGGAAATGGGAGAGTAACTTAAAATGACTACTCTAAAGTTGTACTAGATCAACTTTTCTTAGGTCAACTTTTCTTTTCAAACTTTAACTACCTCATAACTAAAATTCACAAGAGTCCATACTTTTTTATTGGGAACTGCATTATTCACCAGGCAACTAAAAACCCTTCTTAATTGTTTCAGAATTGCAAATGCAAATCTAGTTTCTCTCTCTTGATATTTCATTTTGACATGCAAGTAAAGAAAGTGACTATAGTTTCATATACATAGAGGCTACCTGACTGATTAAAGTTACTGCAGTTTCCTATCTGACTTTAAGGCAGTTACAATAGTGCCTTCGGATAGGTTGGTACTTGAATGATTGCTTCTCAATGCAAGGCAAGAGCTGGAATAGCTACTAATCAGGACTAAACTAGATCAGAGCTGTGTGAGGGGGTTTACATAGACCTGGCACACATACACTGCAAAGTTCTAGCAAATCATACTAAAATAAACTTAACAGCATCTATAAATATTTATAATCATATATGCAAATAGTGCAGTATTGTAACTTTCCACTGCAATGAATTTAATGCTTTGAAACTCTGTACACTGTACATTTTCTGCAACACAGATGATTCAGTCTAAATAAAATGCCATGTATCCAATTACCTCTGACACCACTAAGATTACAAATAGCAGCAAAAACTGAAGATTCCATCTCAATGTTTCGGACTCCAGCATCATAAGCTGCCTTCAAATACTGCAATTTCTCTTCTTCAGTATATAAGCAGATTGCACCATCCAGACGGGCTTGGCCTATAAAGCATATAAATATAGATTTTTATTTATTTATGGTACTGATGAAAGTACAGGGGACAGTTTCAGTCTCTAAGGGACACAAGATTGTTACAGTTTCTATACCCTTCCTAATTTTTATCACGGCAGTAAGCTCAGTTTTCACTTAAAAGGCACTCTATAAATGTAATTTATTAGTTATTATTTGAATTTAGGATCAGAGTAATTAGATATGAAAAGACCAACTATTAAATTATCAAATTCATAAACAGGAAATATAGTCCCTCAGATGAATTAAGTATCAGATTTTAATTGTGATATTTCCTCTCTGCTAGTTTGATGTATTGATTACGTTTGAGTTTAACAGTCCCCTAAAAAAGCATCCAGATCTGCTAATGCCTTTCAGATGCAGTGAGGGGAGGAACAATCTCAGCCCTTTTGATGCTTAGAAGATTTTTTAACATAAGGAGAAATCAAGAGTTTTTTAAAATTGGACATTATTGGTGCCTATTTTTAGGAAAGAGTTAGCTTATTCCAGCTCTTTAGGGCTTCAGCCCCAAAGAAACAGATTTTTTTTATTAAGCAGTGTTAGGCTGCATACAGCCAAAATAAACTTTACAGTTCTCTAGTTACCATATTTTTTGTTTTCGGGAACTGAATTCCCAAAGCTGAGGTTCTCTGCCTGTTTGCAAGTTTTGTAGTAGATTTGGTAGCATCCGTAGGAAACCTGCTGGTTTGCTTTTAGGACCCACTGACTGGACCATGGACTCATTATCCTTCCTAACGGTGCCTGAAGAAAGCCACATATTGACATTGTTCTGCTTGAGATCTGCCTTGAGCACTGCTAGAACCATGGATTGTGTGCCCTCCAAGCAATGCTCTTCTTGCAGTATATCCAGCCACAACTAGAGGCAGAAGTGCCAGATATTTGGGGAGAAAGCTTGTTCTCACAAGATTTCCAGCTCAGTTTGTAGACCTGGGAGGGAAACATCTGAAATTCTGGATGCTTATCTAAATCAATCCCGAATTTAAATCCGTGATGTTTGCCCATCCCAAATGTGGCAGTATTGATGTAACATCCAGTTATCCAATTAATGGTTAATTAAGGATGAATCAGCAACCAGGGCTGCTTACAGAAAATTTCTTCTAGACACATGAACAATTAAAAGAAAAAAATAACCAATAACTCTCATTATCAATTCCACAGTGCACTAATGGTGATTATAGCAACTCCACTAAATAAATACCTGATAATTCAGTAATCAAAAGATATACAATTTATGAGCTGTCAGTCGTTGTCAATTCTTTTTTTAGATAGTCATTTAGGGGGAAAAAACACCACAAAATTACACCCTAATACAGCAAAGGTTTAAATACATGCTTAAATTTAAGCATGTGAGCTGTAGTCTCATTTAGATCAACTGGACTACTCATCTCATTAAAGCTAAGCACATATTTAAGTGCTTTGCTGGACTGGGGCCTAAATCCCGTAATCCAGTTTGATTTGCATATGTTACTGTTTACTGATTTACTTCTATTGTTCTATTGCTAGCCTTACCTTCATAGAAATCCAAAGTGCACATTGTATTTCCAATTACTGTATTGAATTCATTTATCTCCTTACTGCACTGCATCAGTTCCTTAGCTAGTTGGTCATCTAGGTTGGTACTGCGAATTACAGTCTTTCCCAGGATAACCTGTTCAAATTGAGGCTTGAAGGTAGCATCTACTGATTGACTGGTTATTACCACTGAGCCTGGCTCCAGACCTGTTGTAAAAAAAATACATATAGTGAGCTGTTCAGCCTCTCTGCTCGTATGTAAACAAGGTACATTATAGCCCAATCCTGCTCCTACTGAAATCAATAAGAGTTGCCACTAAATTCAATAGGAGAAGTATTAGGATCTATGTGCATGTTTGTAGTTTATTATTCCAAATGCTTTAAAATAACTCTATAGGGGAGACACAGTATACTGCTAATTAAAAAGGTATTTATATAAAGGACAATACAAAGGGCTGTAAAGTAATCTTAATGGTCTGACAAATCCAAACTGTTAAGGAAATATTTCACATAGGGCATGAATGATCTTTTCTCCAGCTTGCTGCAGATCTCCTCACTCAAGCACATTTTCCTGTCTGGGGAGTGAGATATTGCCTTTTATTGTAAAATTATATAACTCAAAGAATTCTTTAGCTGATGGGTAATTAGGTCTAAGGAAAAATAAGAATGCTATGTATGACTAAAAACCTGAACATTCTCTCTCTCTCTCTCTCATGATCCAGAATTCTGAACTAAGGCGTGAAAGACAGGAACTCACGTGTCCTATAGCAGAACTAAGATCCACTCACTGGGACTGTACCAGTGTTTTAAAGATGATCTTAAAACCCAAAAAAGGTGTGTGTTTTTTTAAATATTGGACTTGCATTCTTTTTCACTTCTCTATGATGCCTTGAAAGGAATTTCTTCTGCTTTTCTTAATATTAGAACAAACAGGAATGTCAATTTTGGTGCTCCCTTATTTGGATGGAGGACTTCTCTGGGATGTATAATGTTTGCTCTGAGACCTTAATTTAAAAGGTATTATTGCTGAATCTTGAATCTAGTCCCCCTTTATTCAAAATGTTTAATTATTTGAAACAAATAGATATTAACAAAAACAAGCAAAAATTTTACACAGGCTGATTAAAAACTCCCTTTCAGTTGTTCAGCTTTCACTCTCTTGATTCTTGTGTCACCATTTCACTAGTTCTCCAGTCATCAGAGAAACATTCAGGCTAGACAAAAACAGAATTGTTAATGTACAAACCAAGCAAAATATTAAAAAAAAAAAAAAGTCTTCAGGATTTCTTTATACATCATAAAGAAGGAAAAGAGGGCACAAATCCAATTTATTTTCCTTTGCAAGTCACCTTTTAACCTCTGCTTTATCTGTAAAGTGTGGGTGGTAATATTACCTAATAAATATTCAACAAACTGTCATGAGCATTAATTAATTTGTAAAGCACTCTGAAAATGAAATAAGTGTTAGACATTATCATTATTATGCCTCTGTTTTATAAACCTTTAACTACAGAGATGCTTTAATTTCAAGAAAAGAGAAATATGAAGGGGAAATACCTATTCCACCAGAGGTGCCAATGCGAATAATGGTTACGTTGGAACACTTGGAGTGATACAGCAGCTTGATTAGCTCATGTAACATGATTGCAATAGAGGGAATGCCCATACCATGCTGAAATGAAATCAGAAAGTCACATTGAACATTAATATACATTAACAGAAGAGTTGGGAATTGGAGCAGATCTCTGTAATGAATCACTATGAAAAATACATGCAAAAGTATTCTTGTAGAAACCTAACCTATGGGCCAGGGCAGAAGTTTATTGTGGTCAGTGGAAAGACTTCTATTGACTTCAATGGACTTTGGATCAGGTCCAGTGTTCCCTAATATCCTGGGTTATGTTAATTTTAAAAACGTTATATTTTCTGTATTCTAAACCTGAGTCCCATTCTAATCTTTTACAGTTACATGCCCTCATAAAGTTTCTACATGGCCCAAGAGCAATGTTCACACTAGTTCTTAATGACCTGAAACACTGGTGATTCTAGCTGAGCTAAAATCTTACAAAAGGCGAAGGCTATGGTATAGTCACAAAGTTCACAATCCTGAATCTGCTCTCGCTTACATCATGATGTGACACTTCACACCTTGAGGGGAAGACAGCAGCACAATAGGGCGACAGTTGTGGAGTTGATGCTATGGGCTAGGGGTGGTTTTCAAAAGTGCTCTTCGGTATGTCCACACTGCAATAAAAAACTCCTGGCACCGAGTCTCAGAGCTGGGCCAACTGACTCGAGCTCACAGGGCTTGGGCCGCAGGGCTAAAAATTGCAGTATAGGCCTTTGGGCTTGTGCTGGAGCCCAGGTTTGCAGTGGTCTCAGAGTCCAGGCTCCAGTCTGAGTCCGAACATCTACACTGCAATTTTTAGTCCACACCTTGAGCCCCACAAGTCCAAGTCCCCTGACCCGGGCCAGCTGTGCCATGGGTCTTTTATTGCAGTGTACACATAGTCTATAGGACTTAGCAGCACAAGTCCCATGGACTTTAATTGGTACTTGTACTCCTAAGCCACCTACGTATCTTTTGAAAATCTCACCCTGGATCTTCCGCCATAGCTGAGAAACAGCCACCTTTGTTTCTTCCCCAACTGCACTTAGTATACGCAGTCTCTGTGTTGTCCCTAGCATAGGACCAATAGGGTAGAAAACATGCTGCTCATGATTACAAAGGATTGTTGTGGCAGCCAGGAATCACTGGGATGTAGGAATATGCCAGCCATGCCCCTTTTCTCCTTGGAAAGCCATACTACCCTGGGATCTGGAAGGAGAGGTGGCATAAAGCCATTGCATCTATGTGACACAGTGGTTACCCTTACATGGGGGAAATTCTGAAGGAGTTGGCTGAGCCAGCCTTCCGGCTACTTTGCACCACTGAAGTAGACCTGAAAATTTGGATGTATATCCTCTAAAGAAATATTTAAAAGAAATATGCATTTATGTCCCATTTAAAATATGCTTAAATTGTTGATTCAGTTGCAACTACTGCATTGTATATTGAAAAACATTCTGTTCTACTTCCGGAACACTCAAAACAAAAATCAAGGACTAGGCCTTGTCCTTTTCTTTAGAAGCACTGGCAAATATAATTCCTCTTCCTCCCCTCCTCCCCCCACCCCCGCCTCTTAATGCTTAATACTTACACTGACTGATAACACGGGTCCTACTTTGTACATCGCGTAACGGTCAGTTCCTGCACAGATGTTGGGATAGTCAGTGCCGACGCTCCCAAGTCCAAGCTCTTCAGCTATGTAAGTGATAAAAGCTTTCATCCGTGAAGGGCTTCCTCCAACACATACAAACTAGCATGGACAGAATTCAACAAACCACATCAATTATGCAGCTGACTACATGATGCAGCATATTCAAGAACAGGGAAAGACAAATATGATAATGCAAAAGGTTTAATCAGAATTATTCCCAACTACATTATTTTTATTATTACACTCCTCATAGAGGTCTGTAAAGATAAATGTTTGAAAATAAGGCTTAAAATGGTCTCAGAAGTTCTCTGTCATTGCCTGACAATGGAATTTCATTAGTATAGTACAAAATGTAGAACTAGGGCTACATCTATTTAAAATGGCATTTTGTATTGGGGTATGTTTTTAATAATAGGTACCAGAGGCAGAGTGGATGTAAAGGAGAAATTATCTGAATATGTCAAGGGAGGGAGGACTCAATAACTGTATTGGCATATAGAGAACTAGCTAGGAAGGGACCCTGAGGCTGAGATAGCACTTCCCAGTTGGAATACAGTGGTATTGCCAAACCCAAGAGTTCAAACACCAAGCCTAAATAATACCATGAGATTTATTTTTGATCCAGTATCAACATAGAACCCATTTCCAGGTCACATACATTGTAACACAGTGGTGGGCAACTTGCAGCCTGCAGGCCGCACGTAACCCATCAGGGTAATCTGCTGGCAGGCCGCGAGACAGTGTTTACATTGACCGTCTGCAGGCACGACTGCCCACAGCTCCCAGTGGCCGTGGTTCACCGTTCTTAGCCAATGGGTGCTGCAGGAAGTGGCGTGGGCCGCAGCGACGTGCTGGCCGCCGCTTCCCACAGCTCCCATTGGCCAGGAACGGCAAACCGCGGCCACTGGGAGCTGCGGGCTGCCATGCGTGCGGACAGTCAATGTAAACACTGTCTTGCGGTCTACCGGTGGATTACCCTGAAGGGCCACAGGTTGACCACCACTGCTATAACACCTTTGCTAATAGCACTGTGTCCTAAAAAAGAAAGGCAATTAAAGTTACCTCTGACAAATTTAGCTCTGATGGTTAATGTATAAAATATACCTTAAAAATAGGGCTTGCAAATGAGGCACTTTCTGTCACCTCAGGAGTGTTATTTCAGGTATGGGG